CTTGGCTGCCGCCCGATCTGACTTCGCCTTTCGGCAGAGCAGCGACTCAGAGCATCGTGCCTCTCACATGCAGGAGTGGTTTCGACAGCATGGGGTGCTTTTAAAAGACCAGCCAGGCCAGACTCTTGAGCCAAACATTACAGAACCACTAGGGGAGGACCTACAAATTCGTATGTCAATGAAAGAGCCACGAAAAGACGGGACTACAGAGAGAGACCCCACTAGAGAGTGAGTTCATTAATTGACCCCGCATTCAAATCCAGTTTATGTATCCAATACTTTAGAGAGTTCTGGGCAATGTGCTAGACTTGCTTAATGTTAGTGACTGTTTACTTGACTGTTCTGTTGGGTTATACATTATTTAAATCAAATAAACGGATCAAGTGATCTTTCACCTGCCTTCATTAATTTCGAAAAATCTAAAATTTTTAAACCCAAATTTGAGCTGAAGGTTGAATTTTCTGTGTGGATCAGAAAACACGTAGTTAATAATTGTTTCAAATTTGGAGACGATTCAGCGATTTTGCGAGAAGAAATTCTCAAAAAACCTTCTGTTCATATTCTGGCCACTATTGTATGTATATGTAGTACTCCCTCCACCTTCAGTAGGATTACGGTAGGCTAACCTAAGGGAAACAAGTCGAGTCCTACACAGTTTCTCTTTTAGATGAAGAGGGAGTTGCGTTCCACTCCAGGTTTTCCCTACTGCAATGATTGAAAGACAGCTGTAAGAAGTGCTAGATTAAAAAAACCCTCAGAAAAATAGGAAGCAAAACCTAGGAGAAAGGTAGGAGACTCATGGTAGGGGGCTGAGTTCGAAAATGTGACGTTGATGGCAAATTTCGTGGAGTAGAATTTCGTTTATTATTTCTCATATGTAGGATTAATGTTTTTTTAACTAAAAAATTCCACCCTGCCTCCAATTAGCGGTATATCTATCTCCTGTTCATTACCCTATAGCAAATTCTTACTGAATTGGTGCTAAGGTAGGGAGTAGATGATCCCTGAAACTGGGAAGTGGAAAGGTCTCCTATTTGAAGGGTTCCCATGATACTGCGCTCCATCCTGCTGGATGCGCTGTTATCCCTTAAGAGCTCGTTTATCTTCCACTATTGAACGATGGGCAGGCCAACGGGCGCTGTTGGTTTGTGCCTCCGGCCCTCCAAACTTTCATCCAAAACTTACGAAGTGGTTTCGTGGTCTCCTTCAAACTTACCATCAAAGCAGTTTTCTAGAGAAGCGCTACTCATGCCGATATTGCCGCTTCGAAAAATGCCTTTCCGTTGGAATGAAGAAAGAAAGTGAGTTGGTGCGAAAGAGTAGTTAGTAAATTGTTTATTAATTCTTAGTCAAAGTCTAGATTCAGTGGTCCAGGCGGCGAATCCAGTCGATCCATGGGACAATGCGAAGCCGTCGTCATCCAATCCTGGCTCTAATGCAGTAGGCTTTTTAAAAAATTATCTTGTATGTGGTGAAATATCTGTTTTTCAGTCGTACTCGTCCTCCTCACCACCAGAGCCACTCTATCGCATCCCAGCCATAGTACGCAATGACAGCTACCAGCAGTGCAATCCACTAGCCGTCTACGGTGGCACCACAACTAGCTTCGACTTTCACAGTAATGCGCAGATGATTCTAAAAGCGAAGATTGACGTGCTTTTTGATATGGTAAGGTACTGACTCGTTTATACATTGATCAACTTCAGCTTTGCTATAGGGCAATATCAATTTGTCAGCGAACGAAATCTTGCTGGATGAATGGAAATTCTTTACAGTATGAAGCAAGGGTCTCCATGACCGTGGCGGAAAGCAAGACTGCCCCGTGGAAAATTTACGCGGTGGATAGCAATGGCTAGCTGTGACTTTTGTTCCCCTTCCCACATTGGCTTAATGCCAATGCAATTATCCTTCGTAAATTCTACTTCTACATAGAAGCAGCAGTGTACGTTTCGTTAGAACCCGGGACCTTGTTTCAGAGGCTACTTGTGCCGGCCTTTTCTACTGACTAAGGTGGTATCCTATCCGGACCCCGACTAAAGAGGAGAAAATATCCCTTTAATTTTATTACCTTTCCACGACCCAGTCTCCTCACTCTCAGTACATGCTTATTTTTCCATACATACATACCCACTTTTTAGCTGACCCCCCCCCTTCAGGGTAATGCTGGTTAGTAATGCGAAGGGAAAGTATTCCAGAGGTGTCCTTTTTTCCCCCAGCTTGTGAAAAAGAAGGACACAACTCTTCTACTGACTATGCGCGAATCATTTTGGGTGAACTAAAAGTATTAGTGAAGTGAAACTAAAAATACGCGGTACAAAGGTCAGGGAAGGATTTCGGTAGGTTTATTCATCCGAATCATCCGTCCCTGTGAGTGGAGGTGTGAGAGGATGCTGTGCCCCATTTGAGGAATGATGGTAAGTTACCGTAAGGGATGTTGCAATGTAAACGCGCTCGCACCCGCTCTGATGCCTAAGTGTGCGAGTAAAAAGCGTATTTGTTTCGGTACTATGCTATGGGCTACAAGGGGAGGTAGAGTGCGGATGCGTGGACCGCTGGTTGTTGCGCTTACCTGCGAGGGGGCGGACACCAGTCATCCAGACCAAATGACAACCATAAGCGGTAAATCAGTGTGTAGAGAACGCGACCAGGGAATGTAGAGCAGTGTCAACTTACGTTGTTATAGTAACAGTAGGTGTCCTGATTGAGTAAACGGAGGGAATGGGGGCGTATAGCGGGTCTGAAGAGAAATTGCCGTTTCAGTGTGCGTATATTACCCCAGAACCCCGAGGGAGCCAACAGCCTTTTCTACTGGGGTCTCTGGCGGCATATAGTGAATGTAGGGGTAGTCGGATTGGGTCCCAGAGGTCGACAGACTAATTCTAATTCGGTCTCTCGGTAAGATAGAGGAATCGTGAACGAAGTGTTGCCGGCTAGTTCCAGCCAGCAAGCGAAAGGATGTTTTGCTTATCAGGACTAAGTCTTGAAGAGGATGGAGATGCGCAGGTCCGTCTCTTTTAAGGCTTAGTCCTGAGGTAAGCATCAAATTGAGGCGGTTTTAAGGACCGAGTTGAAGTAGTCCGTCGACCGTCGGGGACCCCATCCCCTCCCCAACATTCAGCATACGGTCCCAGCCGAAACGCCAAAAGGGCTGGTTTGCTTACGTCCCCCCCCCCCCCCCCCGCTCGACGGCATTTTTGGAGGAAAAAGTGGGCGGAGTTTGGTGGGTTGAGTGGTACCAGAATTAAAATACTAGAGATGATGGATGATGGTGGTCGAGGTGTCGAAAAGGGGGTCGTATCAAGTCCACCTTGGGGGAGGGGGTCGTAAAAATTTTTGAAAAAGTAACAACGATAGGACCGACCCTGATGTAGAGGGGAAGGGGAGCTAGGATGAGTCACTTGTTCACGTCGCTGTCTCACACTCCAATTACAATGGCATGCGATTTCTTGAACTTTTCCACCGATGCAAACGTAAGAAGCTGTTAAAATGGTTATTAAATGGAATAGGTAAACTCACTACTTTACCCTGCCGTCCTCATAATGAGCCCTGAACTTATTTCGTCGTTAGAATCATTTTGCGCCCGTCATCAGTCAGAGCCCTTCGCTTCTGTGTATTATTTGGTTAGTGCGAATTTTCTGTCTGATTAGTCACACTGAAGAGCTTTTAGAATTTCTTATGTTCATTGAAAAACATGCCTCAATGAACCAAACCAACACCTGCAAGCCATGCTTCATTACTTTTCCTACAGAAAAGAAAATTATTTCTGAACTTATTCAACGAAGAGTGACGTCACTCATATCATTCCTTTCAGGACGTTAGTCTCAACGCGTTCCCGTACACGATACCTCTATCCGTATGCCAGCAGGCGATGATCGCATACGCGAATTATTCACGACATTGGCCGGAGTTTCACTCTGTAAGAATGTTGAGTAAATCGTTGAAGGAAAAGGAAGATACTGAATGAATTCGCGAATTTTGGCGCTATCGTGAAATACGTAGGCATCCTCTGAGAACAAGCCTAGAAGGGGCAAGAACTCCGAGGAAACGAAAATTGCTCGCGCACCCAGGAACTTCTCCTCCCCCACATCTGTCTTATTTCTGTTTCTGATGAAAAGGAGATGTTCTCCGCGTGTTTTCCGTGTCACCACGCACCCGTGTCTTGCGATAGCGCCCAATTTTTTGTGGATTTATACAAATCCACCGCCATTAAGTATGGTAAATTTGCTTGTTTTCTTC